TGTGTGTGTGTGTGTGAGAGAGAGAGAGAGAGAGAGAAGAGAGAGGAGGGGGGGGGGGGTAATAGATTTCCAAAAAGCATAAATTGGAATTAACTACAAGGAACAAAAGGAGTCCATTGCTTAGATGAAACATGTACTGATCAAGATTCATACTTCAGAACAAAATCACCATAAAACCTAGTTAGATGTTAGCTTCAGAGAGATCCAAATCATTGGAGTCATGTCCGAAAATTGTTCCTGTAAGTAGTTCTCAAGACAACGATATTCTGTACAACCTCAGTAAGTTTCTCCACCAAAATTTAAAAAAGCTAGCCCAATGCTCAAGGTTACTTCCATTGCATGGTCGTCGGGCAAAGATCATATACATGCAGTCATATCCCTAGATGAAGAGGTGTTGTTTCCATGACTCGAACCGTTGTTTTCTAGGTCACAATACCGCAATCTNAGAGGAGGCATCATCACATGGGAGCACCAATCATGAAAAGATGCTAATAAGACAATGGCAGAGGATTTGGTGGAGCCATATAAATGACAACTCATTTGCAGTCATTTCCTATCTCTCACTCCTCCCTGAAAATGTTCGGAAAAAAAGGGGGATCACAATCACCTTGTAATTCATATAGCAATCAAACACCCTCCTAAACTGTCCTTTTGACCTATCATAGTGTACACCGAGGTAGGAAAGACACATGGAACCTTTTAGTGGATTGAAGAAACAAAAATCGATCATAATCTACAATTGACAACAATTGATATTGATTCTTATTTTTTTAATCTTATTTAATCAAAATCTTGATCTAATTGAGTCATAATTTAAAATGATATGAGTAAGGCTTATTCAACGACCATATAAACTTGATCCAAGAGCTGAAACTCAACTATTGAGTCATTTGCATGTTTTCCTATGTTTATTTTCATCTTTAGTATTACACCAAACCTATAATGATAAGGCTATGGTATCAAAAATACCGAAAAAAAATTTCTATTCATAAATTTTTATTTGCATTGTGCAATGTTGACAGAAAAATTGGCATTTTTCGGACCCTAGTTGGACCCGACCTATAACTAAGCTAAATGGGCTATACTCTGATCTGGGCCAGCACACCTTTAAAGGATAAGTTAATCAGTCAATTCAAAGCCCAACTAATCTGAAGCACATTGGGAATGTTTAGCTGGGCTAAGGCAGAGCTCCAAACCCGCCCAAATTTCCCTTGTGAAGTCCTGTTGTGTTTTACTAAGAAGAAGTTCCTCTTGCTCTGTGTGTGTGTGTGTGAGAGAGAGAGAGAGAGAGAGAAGAGAGAGGAGGGGGGGGGGGGTAATAGATTTCCAAAAAGCATAAATTGGAATTAACTACAAGGAACAAAAGGAGTCCATTGCTTAGATGAAACATGTACTGATCAAGATTCATACTTCAGAACAAAATCACCATAAAACCTAGTTAGATGTTAGCTTCAGAGAGATCCAAATCATTGGAGTCATGTCCGAAAATTGTTCCTGTAAGTAGTTCTCAAGACAACGATATTCTGTACAACCTCAGNAGAGGAGGCATCATCACATGGGAGCACCAATCATGAAAAGATGCTAATAAGACAATGGCAGAGGATTTGGTGGAGCCATATAAATGACAACTCATTTGCAGTCATTTCCTATCTCTCACTCCTCCCTGAAAATGTTCGGAAAAAAAGGGGGATCACAATCACCTTGTAATTCATATAGCAATCAAACACCCTCCTAAACTGTCCTTTTGACCTATCATAGTGTACACTGAGGTAGGAAAGACACATGGAACCTTTTAGTGGATTGAAGAAACAAAAATCGATCATAATCTACAATTGACTACAATTGATATTGATTCTTATTTTTTTAATCTTATTTAATCAAAATCTTGATCTAATTGAGTCATAATTTAAAATGATATGAGTAAGGCTTATTCAACGACCATATAAACTTGATCCAAGAGCTAAAACTCAACTATTGGGTCATTTGCATGTTTTCCTATGTTTATTTTCATCTTTAGAAGTACACCAAACCTATAATGATAAGGCTATGGTATCAAAAATACCGAAAAAAATTTCTATTCATAAATTTTTATTTGCATTGTGCAATGTTGACAGAAAATTTGGCATTTTCGGACCCTAGTTGGACCCGACCTATAACTAAGCTAAATGGGCTATACTCTGATCTGGGCCAGCACACCTTTACAGGATAAGTTAATCAGTCAATTCAAAGCCCAACTAATCTGAAGCACATTGGGAATGTTTAGCTGGGCTAAGGCAGAGCTCCAAACCCGCCCAAATTTCCCTTGTGAAGTCCTGTTGTGTTTTACTAAGAAGAAGTTCCTCTTGCTCTGTGTGTGTGTGTGTGAGAGAGAGAGAGAGAGAGAGAAGAGAGAGGAGGGGGGGGGGGGTAATAGATTTCCAAAAAGCATAAATTGGAATTAACTACAAGGAACAAAAGGAGTCCATTGCTCAGATGAAACATGTACTGATCAAGATTCATACTTCAGAACAAAATCACCATAAAACCTAGTTAGATGTTAGCTTCAGAGAGATCCAAATCATTGGAGTCATGTCCGAAAATTGTTCCTGTAAGTAGTTCTCAAGACAACGATATTCTGTACAACCTCAGTAAGTTTCTCCACCAAAATTTAAAAAAGCTAGCCCAATGCTCAAGGTTACTTCCATTGCATGGTCGTCGGGCAAAGATCATATACATGCAGTCATATCCCTAGATGAAGAGGTGTTGTTTCCATGACTCGAACCGTTGTTTTCTAGGTCACAATACCGCAATCTTATCACTGTGCCAATAATTTTCTTCAATAATATGAAACATCCATTGAGGTTACTTCCTGAAAAAAAAAACCATCCATTGTGGAGCACCATGAGGGATCTGATGTTAAGAACAAAATGGAAGTTTGCAGAATTAGTTAATCACTATTTCTCGCCATATCAGCTTCTTTGTATTTGGGAATGATACTGACGTTTTCAAAACCCTGAAAACACTGCATCAGATATTGCACAAGCGATCTTCAAATGGGCTTCCATGCCTCTCTGACTTGTGATATGTGAAGAAAGAAAACTCAATGAAGTGCGACAGACAGCATATCCACAGCTTCGAACGAACAACTCACTGTATTAAAATATCAGGCTGGAAATAGCGAGTTTTGATTGACAAACACCTACAAAAGAAATTATAAGAACAATGAATCAGTCAACAAGTTTAGATTTTCATTACATGTTGCACGTTCCAAATAGATTGGAAAGACCTTATCCAATGCATAAAAAAGAATTAAAATCAGAGGGAAGTTCGAGTTCTAGAATGCTGATACCGTGTACATTTTATCAAGTCTTGAAAAAATTCTTCCAGAGAGGGAAACAGCACATATAATGTGGTTGCACATACACATATCATTGCTGTCATAAAAATCCTACATTCCAGAAATAAGTGAGAGTTAATGCCACCGACACTGATGACAGCCAAACCTCTCCACACACTCCTCCTCCCCCCCCTCCAAAAAAAAAAAACCAAAAAAAAGAGCAAGAAATTGGGTGTTGATAGGTATAAATTGGATATTGATGTAACCTCCAATTATGCATGCATGTAACTGCTGTTGAAGTAGTATGCTCATNCACACTCCTCCTCCCCCCCCCTCCAAAAAAAAAAAAACCAAAAAAAAGAGCAAGAAATTGGGTGTTGATAGGTATAAATTGGATATTGATGTAACCTCCAATTATGCACGCATGTAACTGCTGTTGAAGTAGCATGCTCACACTTGACAGCCAGAGCTTTTATTCTTCCACCAAGAAATGTGCCTCATCTAACCCTGCAACCAAGAAATCAGATTCTTCCTCCGACCATTCTTAATAACCGAAACATTAGATCATGCTCAACTACCACGTGATAGGGGCTAAAGTCTTTAAGCAAACAATAAAATATCAGTCAAAGTGTATAATTCCATTTTCTACCTCATTCTCTTAGCAACCAATGGACTGCATTCAAGAGGTGTTACTGACATTCCAGATGTCTTTTTTAATGACATCAAGTACAAATTACAAAAGCTAAGCAAAATTATTTCAGCTATTGTGCTTCAGTATACAACTATAACAGTATTAAGCACATTCAGACCTATACAACTCCACNTCAGCTATTGTGCTTCAGTATACAACTATAACAGTATTAAGCACATTCAGACCTATATGACTCCATGAAATAATTTTTTGCCATTTATTCACAAAATGTGTAAACATCATAGGTAATTTACCTTCTACCATAATTAAGATATTATGTTTGTGCTTTATCATTCATATTTGACAAAACTTTTCCAAGTCCAATACACTTCAAGTGAGTTTGAATATTACATTTTTTACCAGTATATCTCCAACATATCAAAGTGTTTAGGCAATGAGTCACACAACTTCACTTGAACGTTTTGAAGCTTACTCACATCCATAGCAACTACTAGGACTGCCTATGACTTGATAGAGACAAGATAGTTTCCGTTAAAGAAAGCTCTATGGGGACTTATGAAAGTGTTACTACCATGGGCATGACAACTCAAGTTGCTAGAAATATTCAAAAGAAATTAAATCAGAACAAACTGGCAAGAATTTCTGTCATGAATATACTCTAAAATATGTGGGTCATCTGTGAATACCTAATAGATATTTCATAGATTCCAATGCAAAATGGAACACGAGTATACATGTTAACATTCACAGCAACAAGAAAAGAAAAATAAAACTGCATAGTTCCATGATACGAAATAACTTGGCAACAAGTAGAGCAAAAGATGCAAATTTTTTAATCATCTGAACTTTAGGTTTAAAATAAAACCTTTCACATCCATATGCCAGGGCATCCCCTGTCAGCCACAAAATTCTGGTCCTGCATCCTTCAGCAGAACACATTTGAGGCTCACAGGTTGCCCGAAATCAAAGAATGCAGCAACTACACTGATCATTCAAATGGCTGATCACAGACTGTCCTATTTGTAGCAAATGTAATGCTGATTTGGTCCCGTAGTCTACACCAAGAAAAAATGGGCAAACCCCAAGATCACCTTTACAGATTTGGAAGCCAGGTGTATAAACCTCCTACTCTGGCCCTGGAAAATGCAGGGGAAGGATCAATAATATCCTTGAAAAGGAACTGCTTATACAGCCAAATGGTATATATGTCACCAAATTATCTGAATAACTGGAACCTGCAGAATAATGGTATGAAAACAGATAGCACAGAGCAGTTCTGCTAGAACGTAAGGTCTGATTTAAAAAATATATATATAAGAAGATTAATGTGGAGAATAATACAGGGGAGTCATGAGCATTAATTTCAACATCATCTGGCACACTATAACATGCTTAAGATTAAAGGAATCAGAATTTAAGCCATAAATTCCCATAACTGACAGCAAGTCATGGTATGCTATGCNAATAATACAGGGGAGTCATGAGCATTAATTTCAACATCATCTGGCACACTATAACATCCTTAAGATTAAAGGAATCAGAATTTAAGCCATAAATTCCCATAACTGACAGCAAGTCATGGTATGCTATGTATCGGATGAGACTCTTTTAGAACCAGAAAGGCATCCATCATCTCAACAGAAAAATGTACAGAGAATTACAATCCAGACAAACCAAAAAGAAAATAACATACAGAGAGATAAGTTCAAAAATACCCATTGCTTTTAGAAGTTTGTAGTACAAAAATTTCTACCTTGCCACTGTATATTTTGTAACCAAAATAGAAGCAACAGGAAACAACATTTCATCCCGCTCCTTACAATATGTGAAGCCATTAAACAAAGGCACATCAAATTCTACTCACAGTTGTGAAATGGGCTAGAAAGGAGAGAAACAGGTTTTCCTGTCATCTAATAGGAATGCTGGTAGCAGTAGAAATTAAATTCTTTAGCTCCATCAAATGCTCATCATTTGATATATGGAGCAAAATACGAAGGTTTGTGACCAAGGTTTCTTGTTCCCAACTTAAGGGTCCTGATGCATGCAATGCCTCCATAGTCCGACGGTAGGCATGCAACTCTAACCTATGGATTTCTGCAGCCAATTCCTCTTTAGAAGGAAGGGGCCAATTTTCTTCCTCATATGCCAACCGACAAAAAGATTCAGCATCGCTACCATCATCTTCATCATCTTCAGCAGGACCTGTAGTAAAATTGCATGGAACTACGTCGAGATTATTGCTACTAATGCTACAACTACCGACAGAGCTACATGAAACATAATCAGAATCATTATGTTCTAAGCTTATTGCATGTGAACACTCGACAGCACCATTCCATTTCTCCCTCTCCACATCCATTTCAGAATAAGNCTACTAATGCTACAACTACCGACAGAGCTACATGAAACATAATCAGAATCATTATGTCCTAAGCTTATTGCATGTGAACACTCGACAGCACCATTCCATTTCTCCCTCTCCACATCCATTTCAGAATAACCAGTTGTTCTTTTGTTAAAAGAAGCATGTATGTATTTTTCACCCGACATTTTTCTACTGAAAGCAACGTCTACCTTTTCAGGTGACGGGAATGGATATGTGGCAGGCACCCCATGATGCCTACCTTCTTTCTCAATCAGTCGAAATTTATGGGCATTCTCTCTATGTTCATCCAATTGACAGTAATCATAGGGTGGCCCCCGCTTCAGAGTTCTAGAGGAAACAAAATTGGACTCGCAGAAATTGAAGTTGTTCTGAGCAGCAACACATCCATCTTTTACATGGAGATTCATTTTTTCATAAATTTGCTCAATTTGAGAGCCTGAACATTGGTTGTACTTTAGACTTGATCTTTCATTGTTTTTTCCATCTCCATCATTTCCAGAGCCCTGTGCACAAGAAAATTTGATGGCATAATTAGTAAGTGAAACAGAACTGAAAGAGATCCCATTAAAATTTTTGTCTAGCCTGCATTCATTTGTACAATTGTATGACAATAGGATGTGCAGAAATTAAAAATGTCGCCACGAAAGCTCCAAAAATGAGGTCATTGCTTTGGATGTCAAGAATAACATACAACATGAACATGAAATACAATAAGATTGAGATGCTACTTCATTATTAGAATACCCACTTAAAGAAAAAACATGAACTATTTATTTATGAAGCATAAAATGAAAACCGAATGGACTCAAGCCAATGCACACAAGACATAGTTTCAAAGATTGCATGCATGAAAACCATACATAGTGAAGCATGCATTGCACAATTAAAATCATATTAAATTACCTTTCCAATCTCAATCCATTGGTCACACTGCCAAGATTGCCGCAGCCGAAGGTCATATTTGCTAACTTTGAATTCCTGGAAGGATCCGACCAATCTAACCAAATAGTAGTTCCTACCCAAAACCATTGACACTGTTGCCATCTTCCAAGAAGAACTGTGAAACACCTCTATCACATCACCAGGCATCCAATTGTCTGAAATTATGGTAGGAGGACAAGGCCTTATTGACCTCCTCGACACTCTTTCCACAATCACATTCTCATCAGTAAAACGTGGAAGCACGTCATACTTCACAGTGTAGTTGTGCCCATTACCATTTATTATCTCAGCACAACGCCATGAGCCCGATGGCACCTCATTTTTGCTCAATACCTCCACTTTACTCCCTTTCTTGTATCTCATGATTGCTACAATATCAACCTCAAACTGCAATTCACAAAACCTATGTCTCAGTTAAAACAATAAATGCAAGAGACATGTTGAAACCAAGACACCAGATATTCAAACATTGAAGTTAATTAAAAAATGTCAATCTAGAAATTATAATGTAACCATCCAACAACGAACAGTAATAGTGGGATTGCCACTGAATTAAAACTACATTTTATATAGTCTCATTCGCAGTGACATTACGTATACAGTCAATGAATATTTACAACTGATAGAATATATGAGTCCACCAAATCATGTAAATAAACATAAGATGTGATAAATAGCTACATAAAGACACATTCATACACACATACATCCAAACTCATAAACCCAACCAATCCTTTTGCCTCAATTATTTTGGGACAACACGCACAAACGCATATCCTGAAATATAGATTTACCGTGCATAGGTTTTCATCAAAATACATGCGTCTATACTCAAATAATAGTGATCAGATATACCTAACCCTAAAACTCATCGAACTCTCGAGAAAAAACAGAAAAAAAAAAACCCTAATTTTGCAATAACAAAAACACTCAGAACAGACAAATACCAAAAAATACAAAATAGCTACACAAAAACATTCAAGAAATTATTTTGCACAATATCTGACCCCAAAAATCATCTAACTCTTCAGAAAACAGCAAAAAAGCATAGTATTAGATTACAAAAAACTCAGAGAAAACGATTACAAAAAAAATATATATATATATATATACAAAACAACTACACAAAAACATTCAAGAACCAAAAATAATAATAAAAATTATACTAACAAACTGAACTGTTTTGGAAAACAAATATCAGAACTAATTCCCATGAACATAAGTTCAAATCATATACATGAAAATTGTTTTTCAAAAACCAAAAGAAACTGAATCAACATTAAATGCGATATTGAGAAAACAAAAAGGGACATCAAAAACTACGAATCGAGCGTAACAATGAAGAAAAATCGAAGAGATTTTCTCACTGACCTTGGCGGAGAATTTTTCTCGATCGAGAGAGAGAAAAAGAGAGAAGAATTCGTTTGAGTCTCACATTCGATTTGGGACTCTCTGTTATGGTTGTTTTGGTTATGTGTTTAACAGCTTAATAAACAACGCATTAAGGAATATATTGTGAACCAAGCCAGAGTTGCCAACTGCCCAAGAATAGCTTATTTTAGGTGGCATTAATTAACTGATAAATCTTATTGTGTGCTCGGTGCGTAATATGCACTCCCTCCCTATATTTTCTTTTTCACTTTTTTTTTTTTAAATTATAAATTTTATTATTTCTTTAACAACAAAAAAAATTTGTTTTAGTTGCGTAACGATGAAGGAAGTATCTATCTTATTATTATCTACTTATATGTATTAAATAAGTATGGGAATTTATTTGTCTAAATGTCAATCTCTTCTCATTCTCTCTTCTTATATCTATAATAAAAATTAAAATAAAATTTATTACTTAATTTTTTTCCAAATTATTGCTACTAATGACTATATCTTGTACATGTGTGCCATTATTTCTACTAAGATTAGAGTTTATCGGAATAATTAAATGAATATGTGATTTCACATTGATTTAAAATTGAATCTCATCAATTACATATCAATTCTCTTTTCTATTTTCTTTAGNAGATTAGAGTTTATCGGAATAATTAAATGAATATGTGATTTCACATTGATTTAAAATCGAATCTCATCAATTACATATCGATTCTCTTTTCTATTTTCTTTAGTTGTTCAATTAGAACTCAAGTCTATCATAATACTCTGATCAACTAGGATTCTAACTTTCAACTTGGATATTACTCATACTTAGATTTTTTAATTTTGCCTCAACACGGTTTACACAATGTCGACCGAAAATTTGAGACCCTAATTTGAGTACTTCTTAACTTCCAATTGGACTACAATTTTTTTTCTTTCTAGTCCAACCCAAATAATGAAATTTCCTGCTAAAATACTGAATATTTTAAAATTGGGATTGAGTTGATGAACTTAAGNACTTAGATTTTTTAATTTTGCCTCAACACGGTTTACACAATGTCGACCGAAAATTTGGGGTGGATTCGAGTTAAAATTTGAGACCCTAATTTGAGTACTTCTTAACTTCCAGTTGGACTACAATTTTTTTTCTTTCTAGTCCAACCCAAATAATGAAATTTCATGCTAAAATACTGAATATTTTAAAATTGGGATTGAGTTGATGAACTTAATTTACACTTTTTTTTTATTTAATAGTTAAAGTTGTTCAAACCAACTTTATGAATATTTCGCCTAATTTTATCCTCGACCAGTTACACTATTATTTCCCCTTAAAAGTAGGCCACAAAAAATGAACACAGGCATTTTGGATCTTTTGTAAAACTTTGCTCCCATTGGATACACATAATAATTAGTTATACCTTACAGTATGACTTGTATGACCTTTTAATTTGTCAAGTCAAAATCACAATTGTTTCCTGGTCATAACTATCTTCCCCCTCTCTCTTATTATTATTAAATTAAATTAGAGACTTTCACGTAATTGATGGAATTCTCACACATGTATGGCGTGCCACTTTCCTAATTAATGAATTTATTTGGTGAATTCAGTAAATTAAATTCCTTTTTTTAAAGAAAAATGTTATTATCAAATATTCATCTACATTAAAAAAAAAGCACATAAATTTTGTGTAACATTGTTCTCGTTTTATGTGGAGGTCTATAATATTATGGTCCTTTTTTTAAATTAATATTAATAATTATCTTTTATTGGCATACATCTTGGGCCTTCTAGGAATTTGAAAATTTTGAACACCCATAAAAAATTAAATTCCCCTGAGAAATTATTTTTTTTGTACATGTTCTTCATCGAACTGAAAAACAATTGTATCCAATGTGAAAAAAACCCTTTTCCGGTAAGTTTTGTAGTTGGTCTTTCTATTAACCTTCTTTNTCCGGTAAGTTTTGTAGTTGGTCTTCCTATTAACCTTCTTCCTTTCGTTCGTTTTGGGAGGGTGTTGAACTTGAAGAGTCATGGTCAAGCAATCCCCTCGCATGGGTTTGAATAAACTTGGCAGCCAAATAGCAAATTACACTTTGTGAAACTTTCAACACACCTTGTGAGAAAACCTGCGTAGCAGACACCAAAATAGATTATTAAAAGCCACAAAAAAGTTGATAACCCCGTCTGCAGGCGACAAGTTTATCTATTTTCTTTTTGGGTGTAACGAGGTGTTTCAAGGACCTATAAATTATAAAAATATTCTTAATTTCATTTTAAAAATTGTTGATTGTTTTAATTCTTTTCAGCGGAGAGGGACGAGAAAAAGAATATTTGTTCTTTTTAAAGCCTCCTCTTTTTTTTTTTTTTTTCCATTTTATGGTGAAAATTGGTTGTATTTCTTATTCAAAAATTTTATCAATGTAAGAAAATTTTGATTACAATCAGAAGACAATAAAGTCTTAAGCTTGAGCGGGGGCAACTAACCCAGCTTAATAGAATTAAGTTAGAAAAAGTATTCATTACAATCCAATGACCTGCTCTATTAAGAGTTCTTGAATTGTGTAAAAACCTTAAATTTAGGACTCTAGATAAATGTCTAATATTATCAACAAAAACACTAATTTCTCAAGGGGGAATCCCTTCGGTTGAACTCAGCTTAACTATCTGCATATTGTCACTAAATTGGCTATATTTCAAACGAAAACTGTCTAGCCGGTTCAGAGACCTTACCCAATATAACTCATTTTGGAGTAAGGTGAATAAAAAAAAATTGGGTATGGACGGAGTTAATAAAAAAAAATACACAAAATGACACTACTAATTTATCTATCAGTTATTCACGATTTATACATTATATAATATTATTCGTTAAACATGAATTAATAAATAAATTAGATATATATAATTTTTTTTTTGATACAAATCTACTAAATTCGATATAAACCTATCTTACCCAACACGATGGACAAGCATGTGTAAAACCATACAATGAATCATGCACAAATGATCCCCCATTACAATCCACTTCAGCAATATGTTTTCAATTTTTTCAATCTCAGATGTCAGATCACATCACATATTTTGGCTTCACGAGGGATATTATAAATGCAATAGCGACAATGCTAGACTTCAAAATGAGAATATTAAACCTTGTCAACCTTCAAATTTGGTCCATCTGTCATGACTGTTATCCCAATTAGGTTTACAGTCGTTGAAACAAAAATTTCAATCCAAATCCAAATTGGTTAAATGCATTATTTAAATATAAATTATTTTTTTTCAATAAAAAATTGAATCTATCGTATCATATTTCATAATTCTATATATTCAAATCGAGTTTAAATTTAGATTTAATGAGATGAATTTAGATTAATTAAATTATTTGGAACTATAGAGTTCAGAATGAAATCAATTGAATATTTAAATTGAACTCAAAAAAAAAAAAAAATTAAACAAGATTCATATTTGAATCAAAATTCGATTCAAATTCAATTAGGCAAATGAGATTTTCGGTCATAGTTTTTGCTACCCGAATGAGTACAATAATTTATACAACAGTGTACTACATTATCAGTGTCACGACAACACAATAGAATAAGTATACCCTATTTTTTTACGTGGGTTTTTACTAAATGGCATGGAGGTATGACTAATAAAATATATGGGATTTATGGGTTTACTTGTTATGCTTTTATTGAATAATGACATCACGTGACGGTGATTACAATCACCGTTGTTGTAATGAATATTTTTTCGGATATGGGATATTTGGGCATCAAATATTTTTTATCCAATCCAAGTGATGGTTAACGATCCAAACACCACCTTTGGGTATTTTGTTTTGCTGTCCTATCCGTGAAAAGCTAGCTTCCAAGTTACCAAAATATTTTGAATATAGAAGGCGTGTGTTATGCATTAACCCCATGTATACGTTTCCTTGATATCATGTCCCACTCTCCGATCTTTCAAACGCTTTTCAAGCTATCATCCTTTCTCTTTCTTAAGGTTCATGTGTCCCTATTGCCAGCTCTCTTGTGTGATGTTTAAGTGTTTTCTTAGAAGCAAGTAAATTAAACTGAATCGGATTACATTTATGGTGGATCATTCACTTATTTTACTTAAATTTATGGTGGACGAAAATTAATACTTGAATAGAACTCAATCTATGAAGACCTTTTCCTTTTCCCTTACAACTTGGCTATTTTTTTTTATTTTTTTTTTGGGGGGGGAGAGTCAAAAATGAAGAAGGTGAGGTAAATTTAAGACCTTTTTAAGACCTTGTTGTTTTAATTGTAAATATAAAATATCGTACAATGTTGCGATATAATGCCATTATTTTTATTTTATTTTATGATCCTACCTATTGTTTTTCATAGTCTATACCCGAGAAATTTGTTGTTTTGCATAATACCCATTTTTGTTTCTTGTCCTAGTGTTTAAAGATGCCAGTTTCTACATTTTAATTTGCTATNTACCCATTTTTGTTTCTTGTCCTAGTGTTTAAAGATGCCAGTTTCTACATTTTAATTTGCTATTGACTAGAGGTTACGTTAAAATTAGGCCACTAAAAATTTAATACGACCTAATTACTTGACATAAAACAACACAAAATTAACGGGTTTGGATAGTAAATATGTGAAATCGTCTGTTGCAGGTAATAAACTAATCGCGTTCAGATGGAGTACTTTAACCTGTTTATCACNATTGACTAGAGGTTACGTTAAAATTAGGCCACTAAAAATTTAATACGACCTAATTACCTGACATAAAACAACACAAAATTAACGGGTTTGGATAGTAAATATGTGAAGTCGTCTGTTGCAGGTAATAAACTAATCGCGTTCAGATGGAGTACTTTAACCTGTTTATCACCCGATTACTCATTTCATAAATTGATATATCACTCAATTACCTTTTTACTGCATAATTAATCATTTATGACTTGATTATCCACTGCTCACTTGATTACTCGTTTAATTTTTTTTTTTTATCCAAGATTACACGTTTAATAGATGATCCAATTTGTTGCAAAATTACCCACTTACCACCTGTATAATAAATGAGTCATCTATAAATTAAGTAATTTTTTATATGAACNATCATTTATGACTTGATTATCCACTGCTCACTTGATTACTCGTTTAAT